AAGACTCCTGTGTCCCTCTTCAGTCCTTCAGCATCCATCTGGCCCCACTGGTAGACCTCCTGATGGAGCCTGGGTTTTGGCCACTGTGTGACACGGAGTGTTGGACTGGATGAGCCATTGGCCTGATCCAGCATGGCTTCTCTAAGTTCTTAGCTTCTGAACTTGTGAATGAACTTGAGTACAATATCGTGTCGTTGTAGTCTCCCCTTGAAGTTTCTTTATGCAAGGACTGCCACTCTTACACCAGCAGTGGATGGCCTGGATGATTAAAATGTTCTCCCATTGGTTTTTAAATGTGGTTTTTAATGTTGGATCAATGCCCCATTTATTCTTTTGCGTTGGGACTGACCTGTTTGTTCAATCTAGAGTGTGGACGGGCATTGCTAACATGTGATGGCAGGTATAATGTTGGAAGACGAACAAGTGAATGAACTGGAGATGGTGTGTCTGTTGTTGTTAGGTCCTGTTGTTGTGTTGTCAGAGTGGATATGGGGACAGAGCTGGCATCTTGGTTTGTTTTAGGCCCTGGTCCCAGAGGCCGTGTTTCAGGTTAGGAAGGGCATTGTCTTGGTGTCAGCAAGCTGCCAAAGGTTCTTTCCTGTGTATGTATGTTATCCTTCACCCCCCCCCTCGTGAGTGCGTTCAGCCTGTCATGCGCACATCTTCCCATTAGACTGCATTCCTTTCCATGAACGCTAGTCATGCTTTCATGTAACGCTATCTCGCCAAGGCCACAGGAGGAAGAGCACAGAAGGCTTAGCTTAGTCTGTAATGAGCAGTAATGTGGGAATAGAATACTTGTTTATAATTAAGGAGCCGTTGCTTCTCAGGGCTTGAGCGCGAACGGGGCCTCTTGGCCGCGCGCGGGAACCATATCTATTGGCTAGTGTAATTATGAACCTGCTTTATCCTTTCATGCACCTCCACCCTCGTTATTCTGAACAGTGATCCTGTTCTAGTACTTCATGGCTTCAATAAAGTAAAACCTTCTTGCAAGTGTGTACTATGTTGTTTGCTGTGGGGACCTGACACTTGGGTGAGAAGTTGTTTACGCTTAGGAGGCAAGTATGGGCAGGAGAAGGTTTGCCTCCCAGTGCCTGTGAGAGGGGAATATCATTGTCCCCCATAGTTTTAAGGTGATTACTGATGCTTTGAACCGGTTTGAGCGGAGAGCTGTACGTGACCACCAGAGATGTTCTGTTGTTGTTTCATTTGGGCCTCTCTTGTAGCTGGTTATCCCTTGGTATCATTCTGGCTCTGTTGATCTGTTTCCTTGCTACATCAGGTGAGCATTGTCATTCCCAGAATGTCTGTCGTAGATGCAGCAGGAGAGAATCTGTGTCCGAGGGATCAGATGTGTCTGTAGCATAGAGCTTGACTGTAGACCGTGGACGAATTCTGTGCACGTGAAGAAGAAAGCCAAAGGCACGGCTGGAAGTGCGTTAATATTTCTGCTGCTGCCTGCACGGCGGAACAGGCAAGCTGCATTTAAGTTGCAACAGAGGCCTGCTGCTTCAGCGATGCAGGTGGCTTCAGGGGGAACATTTAAAGGCATCTTGATTTGTGCTGGCTCTTGGTGCAGTTGCCAACTTTGTCTAGCTGTCCCTTTAGTATAAGTTTGCTCTGCAGCAAATAGCAGTTGATGTTATTTCTCTCCCCGCCATGAAAAGCTTCAGCGGCTCATTTCCACACGTTAGAACTCTGTTGGAGAACAGGATATTTTTCTCCGGGCCTGTTGACAACTTTGGCATAAAATGTTGCTGGGAGTACTGGAAATACTTTTTTTGATACCTGATTGCAGGGCAGTTTGCCCCATGTTTGCACTCCAGAGTCTTAGAAGGCCAGAGCAAGTTTGGTGTAGTGGTTAGGAGCGCAGACTGTAATCTGGGAGAACCGGGTTTGATTCCCCACTCCTCCCCTTGCAGCTGCTGGATGACCTTGGGCAAGCCATAGTTCTGTCAGAGCTGTCCTTGAAAGAGCAGTTCTTGAGAGAGCTCTCTCAGCCCCACCTACCTCACAGGGTGTCTGTTGTGGGGAGGGGAAGGGAAAGGAGTTTGTAACCTGCTCTGAGACTCCTTCAGGTAGTGAAGGGCGGGGTATAAATCCAATTTCCTCCTCCTCTTCCTCCTCCTCTTCCTTCTGAAGTAGATTTCTGCCAAAATGATTTCTAGAACTGTAAAAATTCACATCCAGCCCTAGTTTAGGCAAGTATGTACGAATTCTAATCTTTATGAGCTCAAGCATTAGAGTTCTGAATTTACAGCCCTGAATAAATGGCATTCAACTTATGTGTAAACAAATTGGGTTAATCATCCCTATTAGTCACAGAAAAACACATTTGCATTTATATTGAAATGATACACAGCGTGTCCAATGAGACTGTTGCATTAAATAGAGGGATCCAGTATACAGTGCAAATATTAAAATAGTGTGAGAAGTATTCACCCTGACCTGAATGGCCCGGGCTAGCCTGATGTCTTCAGCTCTCAGAAGCTAAGCAGGGTCGGCGCTGGTTAGTCTTTGAATGGGAAACCTCCAAGGAATACCAGGGGTGCGATGCAGAGGCAGGCAATGGCCAACCACCTCTGAAAGTCTTTTGCCTTGAAAATTTTATGGGATAACCATAAGTCGACTATGACACTATGGCACTTTCCACTGCCACGAGACACGTTCAGTTGTCATAGCTGTATTAATGAAGGGCGGGGTATAAATCCAATTTCCAGCCAATGGCCCATCCAGTCCAACACTCTGTATCACACAGTGGCCAGAAATACCAGGGGCCATCAGGAGGTCCAGCAGTGGGGCCAGGACACTAGAAGCCCTCCCACTGTTGCCCTCCCCCAGCACCAAGAATACAGAGCATCACTTGCCCCAGCCTGAGAGTTCCTACCTATACCTTGTGGCTAAGAGCCACTGATGGATCTCTGCTCCATATAAGAACATAAGAGAAGCCAATGTTGGATCAGGCCAAAGGTCCATCCAGTCCACCCCTCTGTCACACAGTGGCCAAAAATACCAGGTGCCCTCAGGAGGTCCAGCAGTGGGGCCCCCCCAGCACAAGAATATAGAGCATCACTTGCCCCAGACCGAGAGTTCCTATTTACACCTTGTGGCTAAGAGCCACTGATGGATCTCTGCTCCATATAAAAACATAAGAGAAGCCAATGCTGGATCAGGCCAAAGGCCCATCCAGTCCAACACTCTGTCACACGGTGGCCAGAAATACCAGGTGCCATTAGGAGGTCCAGCAGTGGGGCCGGGACATTAGAAGCCCCCCCCCCTCGCCCCCCCCCCCAAGAACAAGAATATAGAGGATCCCTTTCCCTAGACCGAGAGTTCCTATCTATACCTTGTGGCTAAGAGCCACTGATGGACCTCTGCTCCATATGCTTATCTAATTCCCTCTTGAAGCCGTCCATGCTTGTAGCCGCCACCACCTGTGGCAGTGAATTCCATGTGTTAATGTGTTCAAAACACCACTCATTCTCGTAGGGATCACCAATCTGTATTATTCAAAGATCAAGAGGGATTCCTGATTCAGGTCCCCTCTTGCCTTGATCCCAGAGAGTTATTTGGTCCATGAGCAGAAGAGTTATTACCTTAAATCCCCAGTTTTAAAGGAAGTGCTGGTCTGTCTCCAATGATAAAAAATGATCCCAGACCTCTTTTATTTATATCTGGCAGTCAGAGTGTGAATCCTGTGAACTTCCTGGTTCACACCCTCTGCATGGAGATGGAAATAGACATTGGGGCTACTAAAGGTAAAGGTAAAGGTTTCCCTTGCTTGAAAGCCAGTCGAATCCGACTCTAGGGTTGCGGTGCTCATCTCCGTTTCCAAGCCGAAGAGCCAGCGCTGTCCGAAGACGTTTCCATGGTCATGTGGCTGGCATGACTAAACACCAAGGTGCACGGAACGCTGTTACCTTCCTACTGAAGTGGTACCTATTTATCTACTTGCGATGTCTTGCTTTCGAACTGCTAGGTCGGCAGGAGCTGGAACTAGAGATGGGAGCTCACTCCGTCATGCGGCACACTCAGGTCTCGAACTGCTAAACTACTGACCTTCCACAGCCTGCAGTTCAGCGTCTTAGCCACTTGAGCCATCGCAGCTCCTTGGGGCTACTAACTTGTCCCCAAATTTATTTCTTGGCCTTCTAAACCCCGATCCTCTACTGCATGTTAATCAGCATGTCGTATCAATTCTCTGACTGCTGGAAGGTAGACCACAGGTCTGCTTTCATGCTGCTAATGTGTGGACCGGCCGCATGAAGCCATCTCTGTGCATCCGACACCATAGAAAGCTGACCAAGAGTGACTTCTAAAAACAGGGAGCTTGTCTGGTTTATCTTTCGGACTGAGATAGAAAGTGTGTGTGTGGGGGGGGGGAATTGCGCAATTTATTTATATTTTGGCCATTCTACAATTTAATGATAAAATATTGTATTGAAAACCGCTTCAGACAGAAGTGCCCTAGAAGTCACAGTGAACCAGTGTGGTCTATCGTGGTTAAGAGTGTCAGGCTAGGACCTGGGAGGCCCAGTTTCAGAACCCCACTCAAAGAAAGGGGGGGGGGGGGGATTGCGCAATTTATTTATATTTTGGCCATTCTACAATTTAATTATAAAATATTGTATTGAAAACCGCTTCAGACAGAAGTGCCCTAGAAGTCATAGTGAACCAGTGTGGTCTATAGTGGTTAAGAGTGTTAGGCTAGGGTCTGGGAGGCCCAGTTTCAAAACCCCACTCGTGACACGAAAGCTCGCTGGGGGACTTTGGGCCAGTCACACTCTGTCCTCCTAACCCACCTCGCAGGGTTGTTGTGAAGATAAAATGGAGGAGAGGAGACCGACGTAAGCCCCTTTGGGTCCCCATCGGGGAGAAAAGGCAGAGCGCAAATGAAGTAACTCCGTAACAGAGATGTTTAAGCAAGGGCTTATACTCCCCCTTGTTCCCGTGTTGCACCTTCTCATACCTTGACTGTGATTTTTCTTTTTCCTTAGGGCTTCGGGTACAGTGTATACAGCGATAGACATCGCCACAGGCCAAGAGGTAAGTGCCAAGTCTCGGCAAAGTTCTGGAATGCTTCCCGCTCCCCCATGCCCTTTCTCACTAACAGATCACCACTGGTTCCACTAGAAATCCATCAGTGCAGGCCTCTCACCGCCTGCCTGTGTGTTTTGGTGACTGCCTGCCTCGAATGAAGCCCCACTCAACTCCCTCACCAACGTTCCCTCTAAGCTGTGGAGTCCTGTGAACAAAAACCCTACTTTGTGAGCTACCGGCATCGACATTCCGAGCGAGCGATTTGGCGGCTGCTTTAACTAGTTTGCTCTGGAGCCCTCCTTCCTGAGCTGAGACAAACGTGTGTGAGCCGGAGGCTAAAAAACTGTGAGCTGGCTCACACGAACTCAGCTTAGAGGGAACCCTGCTCCCCACCCATTAAGCTGAACACAGACCTCCAGACCCCTAGAATGGCTCACAGAGATCCAGCAAGCCTTACTTGTGATTGCAAATTAAAGGGGTTTCCGTGCACCTGGCAGGCCACAGTCCGTGGCTGTATTCAGCGTGGTGATTTGAAGTGGGCAGTCCTACCGAGATGAACGCCGAGTCCCTTCCTTGTCCATTGCATTACTTTTTTAAAAAGGCAGACCGTGTGTGTTCAGAAATAGAGGAGTGAAGCCAATCCCAGCCATTTCCAAGCCTGTTCGTTGAGGCAGCCTGCATTCTCTCCCTGTTTAAAAATGTACATCAGGTTTTGGGGACAGGGGTCTCTGACCTCTTTGAGCGCACAGGCGCCTTTGGGATTCTGAAACAGGGGGGTGGGCACAGTCGCAAAATGGCTGCCACAAAGGGTGGAGCCAGTCACAAAATGGCTGCCGCAGTAGGCGGCGCCAATCACAAACTGTCAGGGCGTGAGGTTGTACATAGCTCTGAGTAGCGACCCTTCTTCGTTTCAGGCAGAAGCCCTGTTTAACAGCTGCCTTTTAATCTCTACAGCAGATCAGAAGCCCCAGCAGGCCCCGCCCACTTTATAAATGCACTTGATGGGTGTCAGGAAAGCGTTGGGTGCCGTGGAACTCAACAGTCACCACGCTGGAGACCCCTGTTGTGGAAGAAGATCTTAGGGACAAGGAAAGAGGTGGAGTCCGTGGGTCATATGACAAATGACTCCTTTCTGTGCCTGTCCCCAGTTCAGCACAGTCTTGGCTTGTGGGGGAGGGGTAGCAGAGTCCTTGGTCCCACGGCCCGGGACGTCTCGTTTCTTCTCAGTTGTGGAGGAAGAAGCCACACTGTGGCCACCCCACCAGCATCATGTCAGAAGGGACTTCTGACGTTTTAAATAGTCAGCTGTATAAAATCTACTGTCATGTTTTTGTCCTGCTGGCATGCATGGTCCTCTCCCTCCCGTTTTACCCTCACAACAGCCCTGTGAGGTAGTAGGCTGACCTAGCATGGTTTTATGGCTGAGGGAGGGATTTGAGCTTGGGTCTCTCAAATCCAGGCCGAGCACATTAACCACTGTGCAATCAGGGGAAGGCCTCGGCCTTTATGCCCTGTTGTTGGCCCTCCAGAGGAACTGGTTGGCCACTGCGTGAGACAGGATGCTGGACTGGATGGACCCTCCCTGGTCTGATCCAGCAGGGCTCTCCTGAGGTTCTTTATTTGTAGCTCTGCCCTCCACATGCTGCTGGGCACTGTGCTGAATATAGAAGCAAGAGGGGTCCCACCAAGGGGGATTTGAGTCTGTACGAGGCAGGGAGGAGGCAGTGACGGCGGACTGGAACTTAAAACCGTTCAAGGCCTTGTCATTGCCTATCAGGATCACGCTGCCTATCGTTGTGGCAAAAATACGAGGAAGTTCAGGAACTAGAATTTGAAGCACTGAATCAGTCTCCTTATTAAGAAGTAAAAGGAAAACACACAGCTTCATGGGGAAATTCTCCCGAACAAAGCAAAGAACGACCTGCATACCGCAGTACAAGGTTTTATATGGCTTCTGTGGAGGCAACGGTTAGAAGTTAAAGCTGATCAGATTTGGTTGTTGGAATGTAAATGATACACACGGCGAGAATTAAAGCGTAAAGAAGAGTTTTTATCTGTAGCTGGACTGTAAATCTTTACTGCAAGAGTATTTAAGGTAGTAACAAAGGCAGTCGTGTCTAAATAGTTAACTTGAGTGGGGCTATACTGTGAGGTAAATTTAATATTTATTTATTTTTATTTATTCATTCATTTTTCCGTATTTGTATCCCACCCATCCTGCGAGCAGGCTCAGGGCGGGGTCACATCATCTTTCAACAACTGCAGTAACGTTTAAAAGCACAGTATAAACATTCAAAAACAGTAGTTATAGCTACTGGTGAAAGTTCCGACCCATTAATACAGATGGATATGGCCAGCAGGTGGGAGACGGCAACCTCGGGGGAGGGGGGGCATGTGTGGACGCCCACTGCCTCAGCCAAAAGCTTGGCGGAAGAGCTCCGTCTTGCAGGCCCCGCGGAACTGAGTGAGATCCCGCAGGGCCCTGATCTCAATGGGGAGCGTGTTCCACCAGGTGGGGGCCAGGGTAGAGAAGGCCCTGGCCCTGGTCGAGGCTAGACAGACGTCCTCTGAGCCAGGGACCACCAGGAGATGTTGATTACTAGAGCGTGAAGCTCTTTGAGGCGTATACGGGAAGAGGCGGTCCCTTAGGTATGTTGGTCCCAGGCCGTATAAGGCTTTGAAGGTTATGACCAACACCTTGGGAGCTGCGGTGGCTCAAGTGGTTAAGACGCTGAACTGCAGGCTGTGGAAGGTCAGTAGTTCAACAGTTCGAGACCCGAGTTGCCACATGACGGAGTGAGCTCCCATCTCTAGTTCCAGCTCCTGCCAACCTAGCCGTTCGAAAGCAAGGAATTGCAAGTAGATAAATAGGTACCACTTACAAAGCTCTTCTTACTGGGGCTACTGTAAGCTCTTGGAGGATTGGCTACACTAGGGGTGTGTGGCCTAATATGCAAAGGAGCTCCTGCTACCAGTAGAGGCAGTGGTCATTATGTTCCAGCCAAGTCCGAACGAGTGACAAGTCTGATCCCGGGACCCAGCTCCCTTTTCCTGCAACAGAAAGCCCCGAGTCAGCTGCCCCCTCCATTTGGCCCAAGTGACCAGCTTGCCTTTTAGCAAATGGCTTTCCTTTCGCCTCTACAATAATGATCCCAAACTGCATCCGAAATGCCAAGGACAGGCTTTGCGCGAAGGTCCTTCCACAGCAGAAGTGGAGTTGGCAAGGATTCGGACCAGAGTGGCTGCCTCCATCTGTCGAAAGCACGAAGCCTGGTGCAGGCGGCCTGTGCACGTTATCCATCGAATCCAGAATCCTGTTTCTCACACTGGTCAACCAGTTGCCCCAGAGAGCCACAAACAGGTCATAGAAGCCAAGGTCTTCCTTAGTGTTGCCTCCCAGTGCTGGTATTCGGAGGCGTTCAAGTGGTTAAGACGCTGAACTGCAGGCTGTGGAAGGCCGGTAGTTCAGCAGTTCGAGACCCGGGTGCTGCATGACGGAGTGAGCTCCCGTCTCTAGTTCCAGCTCCTGCCAACCTAGCAGTTTGAAAGCAAGAAATTGCAAGTAGATAAATAGGGACCACTTCAGTGGGAAGGTAACAGCGTTCCGTGCGCCTTGGTGTTTAGTCATGCTGGCCACATGACCACGGAAACGTCTTTGGACAGCGCTGGCTCTTCGGCTTGGAAACGGAGATGAGCACCGCAACCCTAGAGTCGGACTCAACTGGCCTTCGAGCAAGGGAAACCTTTACCTTTACCTTTTACCCAGACCTACTGAGTAGCAAGGGATACACTGAAAGAAATCAGTAAATACGCCAAATACATGATTGTGGACAAAGTAGAGCTTTGTGAGCCGGGCGAGTAGTCTGAGCAATGATAATAGCGGAGTGATGCGAGAGGCGTAATGGAGCTGGGGGGTCCCTGCTGTGTCCACGTGACGGCCCCATAGCTCAGCTCTCTCAGTTCTGACCTTGCATCTCTGCCCGGACTGATATAACCCCCCCACCCCCAGTGCCGATCCACTGGCTGAGCAGATGTTAAGATCCAGCTGCTGAGCTGGTTCTAATTAACGCAGTGGCCCCCTCCCGATGTAGTTTAAGGGTGGCCTCATCGCTGAGACCCCCCAATTAGTGGCTTCAGAGAGGCTAATGATTCTGAACACTTAGACAGGACCTTTGATTTGCCAGCGTTTGATGCAGAATATTAATTAAAGGAGGATCAGAGGTAAAGACCTGGGATTTGTGTTTAGGTGACAAGGCGGTTGGGTGACCTTAATCAATAAAGAGAGGGGAAATGAGACCGAAGGTCAAAGGCCTGTCCTTTAACTGTGCAATTACGTGAACTTCATGTCGGGCTCTGGTCCTTCTACCTCTTGGCCGAAGTGTGACCCAGACCGTGATTGGTCAATGCAGAGGATGGAGGAGGCCTTTGAACGTCCCTAGTTTGCCAGTTTTGAGTTGTCACCTTAATGTTTGTGCCTTTCTCGCAATTATGGAGAAGTCCTGTCTAAAGGTCAGGATTTTCAGGGGTCGGAAGCGGGGGGGGGGGAACTAAGTGCACAGTCTGTATCCATTAACAACCCTGGGAGTTTTACCGTCAGATTCCACAACATGTTTATGGCACTGTTAACATCAGTGCTGACACATCTAAATCACATTGGCTACCAGTGCAGTCCTAAGAAGTTACATCTTCGGATCCCCCCGCGTACAGTCGCATGATGATGAGTGACTTTCAGGTATGCAGTCACCTGTCAGCTTCCAATGGCTTTTGGAAGAGCTAAAACTATTATAAAGCAGGTCCAGACCAATGCTCCCTCTAAGCTGTGGAGTCTTGTGAGCGAAAATTCTACTGTGTGAGCTACTGGCATTAAAGTTGTGAGCGAGCAGTTTGGCTGCTGCATAAGTGAGTTTGCTCTGGAGCCCTCCTTCCTGAGCTAAGACAAAAATGTGTGAGCCGGAGGCTAAAAAACTGTGAGCTAGCTCACACTATCTCAGCTTAGAGGGAACACTGGTCCAGACACCAGACCATCAAAAGCTTCAGAGGTGGAAAGAAGGGAACTTGGATATTTGTAATGCACATTCATGCATAAAGGATTCCAGCCATCCGTCCAGGTTAGGGTTGCCAGCCCCCCTAGTGGAGGTGGGCGGGTCCCTCGCCACCAGACCCCACTGCCCCGCCACCAATCAGCTGGCCGGCGGGGTGGGATGGGGACCTAACCAGAAAAGAGGGAGATCCATGCAACCTGTCTATATCTTTTTGTATATATACATTTATTTTCAGTTTCATTAAAAACATATTCATTTCAGTCATTTACATATCATAACCAGGCGATCATTTGTATTTAACATTATTTATCTTTAACTAGCCATTATACAATACTATTATAGCTCACACATCTTCTACACATCTGGTGGAGATGCGATAAAATTCAAACATTTTGGAATAGAATACATAAAATAACACTAAAGACTCTACAAATTAACATACCAATAACCCCAGAAATATATTTATTAAACATGTTACCAGACACTATGAAAGAGCATAATCAGATAATAGTATATATTTTAACGGCAGCAAGAATATTAATAGCAAAAAGATGGAAATCTAACAGTGTACCTTCGGTAAAAGAGCTTAAGTATAAACTCCTAGAGGTAGCTGAAATGGATAAGTTAAATATAGCCTTGCAAAACAAATCGGAGGAGCTCTTCTGGGATAGGTGGGGGGAAATTTATGGGGGGTTGAAGATGTGCAACCTGTCTATATCAATGCCCAGGACAGTTCAGTCAGTGTCCCACTGTTCTCTGCCGCTGAGTGCCAGGTTGTCCCCAGCGCATCCATTCCGCACCTGTCGCCCCGGCCTTTCTGGTACTGACGCATCCTCGTGCAACATGTCGTTTCAGGTGGCCATAAAACAAATGAATCTCCAGCAGCAGCCCAAAAAGGAATTAATAATTAATGAGATCCTGGTCATGAGGGAAAATAAGAATCCCAACATCGTCAACTATTTAGACAGGTAAGTGACGCCCCGTTCTTCTTCTTTCCAAAGCGTCGCCTGGTCTCCGTGAAGGGGCGATGTCAGAAAAGAGGGCCCAGACGCTTGTCGCACGCTCGCCTGCATTTGGGACCCACGTTAGGCCAGAATGACGCCTTTGACATGCCCAGGTTCTCCTCTGAACAGCTTCAGAGCAGTAGGGTAAGGGGGTGATTTGCAGTGGGGAAATAGCAGGCGAAGGAATACTTAACCTGCCTCCCCAACAGTTGCTTTCCCCGTGCAATTTAATACACACACCCCTAAAATCCTGGCTTGGGAAAAGGCTTACAATTAAAAAGTGGCAGACAGAGGGTGGATTGAATATCCATTTGCTACTTCTGGGTTGCACAGCCTCCCCTTTATCTAGTTTTTCTTTTATTATTGTGTGAGTTATATTCCTCCTCCTTTCCCAGAGCCCCAAAACAACGACTGTTTGGTGGAATCCTGGATTCCCAGAGCCAGGCTGTCCACTGAACACTAAGGCTCCGGCCTTAGACCTGGGAGTGTATTTGCCGTCTAATTAGAGGTCCCCAGCATCTTCCCTGGGCCCCACCTTGTGTTTTTAGAAAGTGGGCGTGACCAAGTGGGGCTTCTTCCCAGCAAAGCTTGCTGATTGGCCATTGGAGATTTGATTGGCTGTGCAGATTTTTTTAAAAGGTTGCTTTGGCAGCAGCTACCACCACAGCACAAAGATCTTCACTGTGTAACTAAAGATAAGCTGTGGCAGCCATCGTACAGCTGTCTCTGCCTCCTGTGGCAGCCATTTTGTGGTTGCACCGACCACGCTGTGTCAGAATCCCGGGGTGGAGTTGGGAGCCCCCTACTCTGTCATAGAATCATAGAGTCGGAAGGGACCTCCAGGGTTATCTAGTCCATCCCCCTGCCCAGTGCAGGAAATTCACAAATATCTCCCACACACACACCTCCAGTGACCCCTGCTGTATGGCCAGAAGAGGGGGGAGAAACCCTGCAGGACCCCTGGCCAAACAGGCTTGGAGAAGAGTCGCTTCCATTCTGACCCCAAAGTGGCGATCGGCGTTTCCCTGGGCGTGTAAGAAAGGGCCATGAGAACTAAGCACTGAGGCAACCCTTCCTGCCCTCCCTCTGATTCTAATACATATAGACGTCCGCAATCAAGGTTGTAACGTATGGCTGTTGGCAGGGGCTGATGAATCCATTTAAATGGCCCAGGAGCAAGCCAGGCAGAGAAGCGGCCGCTCAGCTTGGAACGAGGCAGCAATGACCGAGCTCACCTTTCCCCACCTTACTGCCCGCTGGATCTGAGCTGGGTGTCCCTCGTGGGGGACGCAAGAGCCCCGCTGGGTCAGACCAGTGGTCCGTCGGGTCCAGCATCACGTCTCACACCATCTTTGCAGATGCAGGGAAGTCGCTTGAACGTGGTGTTTATCATCTGGGGGCGGTGGCACAGGCAGTTAAGTGCCTGTAGAAATAGTCATCTCGAACAGCTGTAACAGCGGTTCGAATGCCACCGTGGTCGGGGTGAGCTCCCGACCCTTGCCCCAGCTCCTGCCAACCCAGCAGTCCGAAAGCCCCTAGGGGCAATTAGGTAAATGGGTACCTGTCCGTAGGAGGACAGGGGGGTACCCCTCCCTTGAAATTGGGCTCCAGCCGAGCGAGGAATCGAGAAGCGGCAGCGGCAACACGGCGGCGGTCAGCACGGAGGAGATGAAGAGAGGCAGCGACATCCCAAGGAGGCGGTTGGCTCGGCAGCTGATGACGTGGCCAGCAGGAGGACGTCCGGAGCCATAAGGACGTTGTGACGCCCACTGTGGCTGCGCACCAGGGCCCATAACCAACAGTCTCCGAGAGGAGTCGCCAGAGAGCCGGAAAGAACAGCGGAGGCCGTGGAAGCCGCACCGGAGAGAACTGGAAGAAGTCGCCCACTCGCTGGATAAACGAACGATCGGAACCGAGAGGGTACCTGGTAGGGCTCCCCCTTCTCATTCCTTAGAGCCATTCTTATTAGACCACCGGCTGTGATTATTTTCCAAGCAACTTCAAAGGTCCAGAGATTGATTAAGATCCTCTGGTTTTGTTCTGAATTCTGCCTGCTCTTGAAAGGCCGGCTCACTTCAGCCCTTTGGGGGGGCAGTTTTGGTCATGTGAGGTGGATGTCCAAAGTGGGCCTGAAAACCCCCCCGCCAAATCCACCTTGCAGGCCTCCCTTGGGTTCCAGATTTTGGTAGCAATGCTTGTCTGTGCTCATAGAAATAACTACTTACTTAATGTTTCAGTTATCTTGTAGGTGATGAACTTTGGGTAGTAATGGAATACTTGGCTGGAGGATCTTTGACGGATGTTGTTACAGAAACCTGTATGGACGAAGGGCAGATAGCTGCTGTCTGTCGGGAGGTAAGAGATCTCGCGCCGTAACTCGCACCATAGAAATGCCTCCCCGTTATACGTTGTCTCCCTTGGATGCAGTGCATCTGCGGCATAGCGGCAGACGGAAGCATCTTAGTCGTGTCAGTTAGAGGAGCTGGATTTGAAAGATCTTGCTCCTTCATTCAGGAGGAGGGGGTATGAACATCAGAGGCACCCCACTGGATCAGACCAGTTATCCATCGAATCCAGAATCCTGTTTCTCACACTGGTCAACCAGTTGCCCCAGAGAGCCACAAACAGGTCATGGAAGCCAAGGTCTTCCTCAGTGTTGCCTCCCAATGCTGGTATTCGGAGGCGTTCAAGTGGTTAAGATGCTGAACTGCAGGCTGTGGAAGGTCAGTAGTTCAGCAGTTCGAGACCCGAGTGTGCCGCATGACGGAGTGAGCTCCCGTCTCTAGTTCCAGCTCCTGCCAACCTAGCAGTTTGAAAGCAAGAAATTGCAAGTAGATAAACAGGTACCACTTCGGTGGGAAGGTAACAGCGTTCTGTGCGCCTTGGTGTTTAGTCATGCCGGCCACATGACCACAGAAACGTCTTCGGACAGCGCTGGCTCTTCGGCTTGGAAACAGAGATGAGCACCGCAACCCTAGAGTCGGACTCGACTGGCTTTCGAGCAAGGGAACCTTTACCTTTACCTTTACCGCCTTTGGACATGGAGGTGCCCTTTAGTGATCATGGTTGATAGCCATGGATGATCCTGTCCTCCACGAGTCCTCCTTTTAGTACATGCCAGTAACCATCACTGTGTGCATTACCAGTCAATTCCATAAGTGATGGAGTTGTACCAGTGTTGTAAACTGCCTTACCCCACTCGTCAGGACAGACAGTTCCAGAGACAGAAGGGTTGGGGCTGGTGGGGACAATGCAGTTTGCCCTTCCCCCAAGTCCTCGCAGGTCCTCCTCTTGCTTTGTCTGTTTTCAGACCAGTTGCCCGGAGAGCAAGTCCCCAGGCAGCCGTGTCATCCTGCTTCCCCTGTTACAGTTTTTAAGCCATCCATTCCAGGTTGTCCCCCAGATTTTTCATTTCATGGGTCGGCGATGCTACCTCCTCAACAAATAGTTTTGCTTTCTCCCGGGATGGGGTTGCACTTGTTCCCTCTAAGCAGAGTTAGTGCGAGCTAGCTCACAGTTTTTTAGCCTCCGGCTCACACAGTTTTGCCTTAGCCTCAGGAAGGGTGGCTCCAGAGCAAACTAATTTATGGAGTCGCCAAATCGCTCGCTCACAACTTTAATGCTGGTAGCTCACAAAGTGGAATTTCTGCTCACAAGACTCCACAGCTTAGAGGGAGCAACTGGGTTGGCAAGCGGAAGAGTGACTGTCCTCTGCTCATGTACCAGAGCATCATTGGCCCAGGTAGACTCCTGTCGGCTTCCAGGCAGGTCTGGACAGGAAGCTGCTTGTGCAGCCGTCCTGAAGCTCTGCCCGGTCATTCTGCCAGTTTCAACAGGAAGGGTCGGCTGCCGCTGAGAACATCCGGGGTGACAAGTGTGACAGCCAATGGGATAAGCTCAGAGTTAGAGGAGATGTCCAGAATTGGGGTTGCCTGTGTGGCTGTGGGGTCAGCTGGGAAGGGAGTGTAGAAAGAGGCGACCTGTACTGAATGCCCCAGTGCCCAGGACCACTCTTCTCATATTAGGAAAGGACGGCAAATGGCAGGTGTGCCCTGTTGGGTCGCGTAGGAAAAGAAGCAATATTACAAAGAAGGGGAATCATTAGCATAATAGACCACACCCAACAGCAGAAACTCATTACGATTGGTTACAGTGGTGTATGGCCTAACATACAAAGGAGTCCCTGCTACAAAAAAAGCCCTGGGTTTTGACCACAAACAAGGTAAACAGAATAAGAAGCAAAAGGTGGGTGTGGCTGAATGTCCACACTTCTGGTAACATGGGGGTGCGGCCTAATAAGCTAATGAGCTGTGCTGTCAGGGGTGTGGCCTAATATGCTAATAAGTTTCTGCTGTTGGGTGTGGCCTATTATGCTAACGAGTTCCTGCTGGTCTTTTTCTACAAAAAAAGCCCTGGATATTGCAATGTTGCATAGTGAAGTTTGAAGACCTGCTCCTGGGTCTGCTGAAGACTCAGTCGCAGTACAAACACGTGAACACGCAAAACCGCCTTGTACGGACGCAGACCCTTGATCCATCAGAGTCGCTATTGTCTGCTTAGACTAGCAGCCAGCTCTCCATGGTCTCAGGTGGAGGTCTTTCACATCACCCACTGCTTGGTCCTGAGACCGAGGATTGAACCTGGGACTTTCTGCATGCCAAGCAGGGGCTCTTCCGCTGAGCCACAGCCCCTCCCAGTGTCTTTTAAGAGCACTTGTTCTGGTCCTTTTTATCTCTCTTAGTAGCCAAGAGACAGCAGTGCTCCCGGTCAGCAACGAAGGGGGCAAGGCCAGGCGCCCGCCCGCTCGCCCTCCCCACCCGTCCTCCCGGGAGCCTGTGCAAAATCGTAATTTCGAAATAAGGGTGGGGCAGCATCAGCATTCTTTAGCCATGTGAAGAGGGAGTCTCGGGCCGCCGTGCCGCTTCCCCCTCCATTCTCGATGAAGTCGCTCGTCAGTCTTCATTTGTACCCTGCTCCTTTTTTTTACACTGTATTTTTTTCTAACGAATAGTGCCTGCAAGCACTGGATTTCTTGCATTCAAACCAAGTGATCCATAGAGACATCAAGAGCGACAACATTCTTCTCGGGATGGATGGATCTGTCAAACTCAGTAGGTATTTCCCTCGGAGGCTCCGTCCCTGCCACGGCTGTCGCGACGGCTCCCGTAGAAATCGCCAGCGGTTCTCGGGAGGGAGCGACGTCATCTTTGCTCCTTCCTCCCCGCCCAGAAAGGTTCCTTTGAGGGCAGATGTGGCACCGAGTAGATTTCAAGTGTGATTAACTTTCCGTCTCCGCATCAGTGACGGCGAGTGGCCGCACAGCCCCGGGGTGTTCGACTTCCAATAGGAATATATCCCAGAGCAACAGGGATGTTGGTCGGTTGCAACACAACAAAGAACCTTGTGACCTTAAAGACTGATGCGCTTATTGCGGCACAAGTTTTTATAGGCAACATATTTTTCTTTGGTATAGCAGTCTTTTATACGTTTGAGATATTTCCTTTGGTTGTCTTCAGCCATTTCCCCCCTCCCCACCTGTCTCGGCGAAATTTTCAAACGACAAATCGGTTGCGTTGCTGTCCCTCGAACCCTTGCCAGTTTAGATCTGGGATTCTTTTCTTTTTTATCGAACAAAAAAAAATGTTGCACGGCGCTTTGTGGCCATTTCACGACAGGCTTTAAGGCGTTAATAACACAGCAGACGAGATGCTGCTCAGGTTTGTGAAGTCTGTAGTGGGTTCCCCCATTTTCTGGATGGTGACCCTTGGGAATCTGTAGCCCAGACTAAATCTGCTCTAATAACTAGTGACCCTTCCTAGCTGGTGTAACTCTAGAAAAATTCGTTCAGGGAACAAAGGAGTGGAAAGACCATTTTGCGGGGAGCAACAAGTTTGATGTACTCATTAAATACATATTTTTAGAGAAAGAAGGTGCTCCAGTTGTTCATGCAAATGGTAGGATCTTTAAGACGTTGTGATTGAAAGCTGGGGGTGTGTGAGGAGAGAGGCCCACTATCCCATATCCTTTCGAGTAATCCCTACTGTTCAATTATACTAGTTCTCAGCCATTTCCCCCGAGATCTGTATGCACAGTCATGATCCAGCCAAAATATGCACTTTAGAGTCCCGCTGATTGATCTTGGCATGTTTCTTTTGAAATCAGTAGACTTAGAATGTAGTTGGATCCAATGTTCCCTCTAAGCTGAGTTAGTGTGAGCCAGCTCACAGTTTTTTAGCCTCCGGCTCACACATTTTTATCTTGGCTCAGGAAGGAGGGCTGCAGAGCAATCTAATTCATGCGGTAGCCAAATTGCTCGCTCACAACTTCAATGCCAGTAGCTCACAAAGGAGAACTTTTGCTCACAAGACTCCATAGCTTAGAGGGAACGTTGGTTGGATCATACCCTTGGTTAAAAAAAAAATTCCTTTCCAGTAAGAATTTTAGACCTTTTGTCAATTATTATATTGCGTTTATCTCTGAGCTCTTCTACTTTATCAAAGTCATGCCGCGTCTTGATCCTTCTGTCTTTCCTGTAACAACTCCAAAGCTCTTTTGCTCAATCTTTTCTGCTGTTTGTTTGGTTGTTTGGTTTTTTTTTTTAAACCCATCTGTGAGATTTCTCCATCAACAGTCTGGTTATTCTTCTTCCTCCGCAGCTGACTTTGGCTTCTGTGCTCAGATCACTCCTGAGCAGAGTAAACGGAGCACAATGGTGGGAACGCCTTACTGGATGGCGCCTGAGGTGGTAACGAGGAAAGCGTACGGCCCCAAAGTGGACATCTGGTCTTTAGGGATCATGGCGATAGAAATGGTAGAAGGAGAGCCTCCATATCTTAACGAAAATCCTCTCAGGGTAAGACCAAAGTCTCGCACTATCTTTTTTTTTTTAATCTCAGACAATAGTAGCCTTGAATGGAATGAATGAGAACTAGATATGCATCAACAGTATGCAGGCAGCCCCCGTGATCTGTGGACGATGCGTGGGATCCTGTACATCCGTTCCACTAACAGTGGCAGTTTCCTCCTGGATAGTGAGCCTTTGGGCTTTTCCACATGCTGCTTTGGGGAGGGGTGTGTGTGTTTCCTGTTCCATGTTTATTTTGCTCCCTCTAGTGGTCGATTCGATATTACATCACTTTGTGACAAAGAAATGCAATACCGAATCGAGTAGAGGGAGCAAATCATGTGTGGAACAGACCCCCCCCCCCAAAGCAACAAGAATACACAAGTGCAGAAAATGAGAATGCGGAAAAGCCCTTTGTTGCCAATCTCTTATAAAAACACAGGAAAGCAACACTTCTAGTAGAACAGTTATAACCCTGGTTTATAGGTATGGTGGCCCCACCCCAGGGTTATAGGTATAGCAGGCCTGACCCAGGGTTATAAATACGGTTGACCCAACCTGAAGTTATAGGTATGGTGGCCCCACCCCAGGGTTATAGGTGCAGTGGACCCACCAAAGTGGTACCTATTTATCTACTTGCAATTTCTTCCTTTCGAACTGCTAGGTAAGTGCATACTTAAAAATTGAAATTCTGCACGCAGTTAATACACATGCCAAGAATAACTAAATTCTGCCGCCAGCATAACATCCAAGTCATCTACCTGAACTCACAATTTATTCTGCAGCTTGACTTCATTGATTCTGAGGGTGTAACTCATGGGGAGTGAGAACGTCCTGGATTTCCCACTGTGCTGACCTGCAGCTTTGTGTCACAAACCCCCAAACCTGTTTTACTTTGCATTGGCGGGGGGTTGAGTGTGTATGATTTTGCACTGGAGAACAGGTGGGAATTGAACCCTTTCTCTGATGGCTTTCCCTGTGGAATTTTCTCACCCCCAGCAGCCTCCCCCCCCCCAAGTTGCAGACCTACTCTTGCAAGGTCAGCAGATGGGGGCTGGGGGCAATTCTAGGGAAAGGGACTGGCAGGGTCTGTCCCTTCCTTCCCATCCCTCATCTATGGCAAATAATCCTCTCCGTGGGATGCTGGGTAAGGGAAAAGGTGTCACTGTGGCTCCCTGACACATCGCTGCAGTGCCGTGTATCATTTGCCCCTTGTTTGGTCACTTTTCTGACAACCAGGGTCAAACTCGGGGAATCTATGAGTATTTAGACAACTGTCCACCCATTCACCTCTAAAGTATGGGGTGTCTCTTTTTTCCCATGAAAAATAAAGAGTGTGTGTGTGGAGGGATTGATACTTCCTCCTCCCCGCACTATGCCACACCGCACTTGCAATGCATTGTTTTTAGCATTTTTTTCCTCCCAGCCCCATTTTCAGAATGGAAGTGAGATGGGGTAGAAGAAAAAGGCTGAAAGCACCAGAGCACAGTGCAGCAAGGTGCTCTGTGTGTGTGTGTGTGACAAGCTTTAGCGGCCCTCTCCCGCATCCTTCAGTTTGGTGTAGTGGTTAAGTGTGTGGACTCTAATCTGGGAGAACCGGGTTTGACTCCGCACTCCTCCACTTGCACCTGGCTGGATGCCGTTGGGCAAGCCCTAGTTCTGACAGAGCTGTTCTTGAAAAAGAGCTTGTAAGCCGCTCTGAGACTCCCTTGGGTAGTGAAGGGCGGGGTATAAATCCAATCTCCTCCTCCTCCTCCTCCTCCTCCTCCTCCTC